TCCCATGACAGCTTACTTTGCTTAAGAGCCTTTGGGGTGGGACCTTGTCAAAGGCTTTCAAAAAGTCCCAGCCCCCTATATCCACTGGCTCATTTTTGTCCACATGCTTGCTGACCCACCTCAAAAGATTCTAGTAGATTGGTGAGGCATAATTTCCCTTTCCCATGTGGACTCTTCCCCAGCATATCATGTTCGTCTATGTGGTCTGATAATTCTGCTCTTTACTGTCATTTCAACCAATTTGTCTGGTACTGAATTTAGGCTTACCAGCCTGTAATTGCCAAGATCGCCTCCAGAGCCTTTTTTAAAAATCAGTATCACATTAGCTATCCTCCAGTCATCTGCTACAGAGGCTGATTTAAGCAATAGGTTACACACCACAGTTACTAGTTCTGCAATTTCATATTTGAGTTCCTTCAGAACTCTTGGGTGAATATCATCTGGTTCTGGTGACTTATTACTGCTTAATTTATCAATTTGTTCCAAAACCTCCTCCACTGACACCTCAACCTGGGACAGTTCCTCATATTTATCACCTAAAAAGAATGGCTCAGGTGTGGAAAATTCCCTCACATCCTCTGCAGTGAAGACTGATGCAAAGAATTCATTTAGCTTCTCTGAAACAGCCTTGTCTTCCTCGGGAGCTCCATTAGCACCTTGATCATCTGGTGGTTTCAATGATTGTTTTGGCAGGCTTCCTTCTTCTGATGTACTTAAAATTATTTTTGCTGTTAGTTTCTAGTTACTCTTCAAATTCTATTTAGGCTTGCCTTTACACTTTACTTGCCAGAGTTTGTGTGCCTTTCTATTTTCCTCAATAGGATTGGACTTCCAATTTTTAAAGGATGTCATTTTGCCTCTAACCACTTCTTCTACTCTGTTGTTTAGCCATAGTGGTGGTTTTTTGGTCCTCTTACTGTTTTGTTTTTTTTAATTGAGGTATACATTTAGTGTGAGCCTCTATTACCATGATTTTAGAGTTTCCATTCAGCTTGCAGACATTTCACTCTTGTGACTGTTCCTTTTAATTTCCGTATAACTAGCTTCCTCATTTTTGTGTAGTCCTACTTTTTGAAGTTAATGCTACTGTGGTAGGTTTCTTTGGTATTTTCCTCCCTATAAGAACGTTAAATTTAATTATGTTATGGTCACTACTACTGAGCAGTTCAACTATATTCATCTCTTGAACCAGATCCTGTGCTCCATTTAGGTTAAATCAAGAATTGCCTCTCCCCTTGTGAGTTCCAACACTAGCCTATCCAAGATGAAGTCATTTATGATGTCTAGGTATTTTATCTCTGCACCCCATCCTGAGGTGACATGTTCCCAGTTAATATGGGGATGGCTGAAATCCCCATTATTGGGTTGTCTGTTTTTGTAACCTTGCTAATATCCCTGAGCATTACACAATCACCATCTTGATCAGGTGGTCGGTAGTATATTCCTACTCCTATATTCTTAATATTCAAGCATGGAATGTCTACCTATAGAGATTCTGGAGTACAATCTGATTCATTTAAGATTTGTATGATATTTGACTCTATGCTTTCTTCCACCTATAGTGCTACGCCCTCCCCCTCCTCCCAGCATGAGCATACTCTGGCATTTCTATATATTGTGTACCATGCCCCATTTATCATCATCATTCCACCAAGTTTCTGTGGTGCTTATTATATGAATATCCTCATTTAATACCAGGAACTCAAGTTCATTCATCTGAGTATTTAGATATCTATCTTCCTATGAAATTCTCAAACATTTTTGTTGGGGAGGTGGGGGGGAGAGTTCAGGCTTATGCCTTTGTTGGAAGCAAAATATGAAGTATCTGTCCCTTTGGTTTTGCTGTTTTCATGTTGCTGGCAGTCATATCAGATGTAGCCACATAATGCATTTGCCAAGTGGGACTCAATGTTCCATTGATTTGGAAGTGTCCTGTATGACTAAGGCAACAAGTTTTGCACATATAACTAATTAAATTTTGTATCAAATGTTCCCTGTTATTTAGATCACTGAGATGCTTGCTGCTGTACTTAAAATAGGATTAAAGTGGTGTTTATGTTGCTCACAGATTCCAAATAAGAGTTGGATTCCAACAGTGCAACTGGTGAGATCCCACAAGATATTCTGGATCTTTTATTAAGCTTGACTGAGCATTTCAACAACCAAATATTAAAATTAGATAAATAATTTTAATGATCTGCCTTATGCACAGATTTGTGGGAGGCAGAGGGAGAAAGTGAAATGGCATTAGATTTTTATTTGTTCCTACTTGTGTGCCTGTGTGTTAAAATGTACTGAAAAACCCTTCCTAGGCACTAAGTGCTAACATTTGAAGGATTCACAGATTAGGGAACAGATCCTGCATCTTCCAGACACTGTGGAGAATTTAGCAACAACTCAACTGTATGCATGCAGCTCCAAATAACCCAAAAAGTAGCATCCATTAGTCTTACTGAATGAACAGGAGAAGGGCTGCTGATTTCAATGATCTCCTCTCTCACCTCAAAACCTTTTGTGTTTTAATCTAAAAATGTGGGCACTGTGCCACTAGAATAGTTGAGCTATGGAGAAACTCTGAATAATGGTCATAGATTGTCTGTGCTACCCCCTACAGCAAGATGCACAATCACAAAAGGCATACAAGCTGTGTACAAAGTACATGACATCTTACTAGTGCCTCAAACAAGAAAGCATTCAGCTTCAAGCTACCAAATAGCTTTAAGTTTGAAGCACTAACAAGCCTTTCAACTATGTGCACATAACTGCCTTTTGACTCCAAATCCTCCTCATGTATAGAAATATATTAAGAAATTCATGGTGCTTTCTTCTTTCTCATCCACACAACCTTTATCTTTCCCCTCTATTGATGGAAATGAAAACCAGAGTCTAAAGAGAGAAGTATATCAGATACTAGATGCATTACATGTGACTATGACACTTTACTGTCTGGTATTTTACCCACAGATTATATCAGATTTTAAATACAAGTCTGGATGCAAAGTAGTAGAGGACAATGCAGGCCATGACAAAAAAAAGTGTCATTAGTATTTTTAATCAAGTATTAAACATCTATTTTTTTTTTAATTATTGCAGTCCAAAAGTGCTCTTTGCAGCCCTCCAGTGGTTAAATGGAAAGTAGAACTCTTAACAGAAATATAGAATTCAGATGTGCCAGTCTGTTGAACTGGCTACAACATTGTAAAAGACGCCTAAGAAGAAACAAAAGCTGGCATATTTGCCAGAATAAAAGATCTACAACAAGAGGTAGTTATTGCTAAAAGTTTATGCTAAGTAGGTAAAGAGAAGAAGGGAGATATATCCTTGCATTAAAATACATCCCCTTATTGATTATCAAACTTCACAAATACATATATTGAATATGAAATAGAAGTAGCAAGTCCCTTTATATGTACTAGGTTCGGGTGCCTCTATTTCTGTATATTGAGAGAATCATTTACATTTTTTCCCCAAGCAATCTGAATCTTTTCCCAGAAAGAATTAGTTCCATATTGAATACAATGTTCCTTGAAATTTACCTGAGTCAGGTGGCTAAATTACAACCGAAGAGCCCCCCACAAAAATAATACAAACAACAGGATTTCTGACATGAATACAGTAATTAAATCACTTTTAAATGATCTGAAAGTAAACTAAAGCTAAAGACCTCAAAACTTCTGTTCTGAATCTCTTTGTAAGAGTGAAAAGAAGCAGAACTGCAAGAGAACCATGTCAGGAAGAAAAATCAGATTATTTTTAATGGGCCAAAACAATCCATAAGTGTCAAATGAGCAGCAGCAAACGGTTGCCGAACCAACATAAAAGCTGAGGTTATTGAAGGATAAATCTAAATAACCCTCCCACAATCTATATTTAATTATAACAACGGGATAAAAAGAGGGAGCAGACCGAGTTAATTTGGGGTGGTCCCAGCGATTTGATGCTAGACAGCTTCCCAGAAGAAGTGATTGTTACTACCTTCCCCACACACACCCTAAAACACACACTTTCCTTTCAGTGTCCCAGTCAGCCCTGACAGTTTGTTTACTTTGAACCAGGAGACATCCCGACGTATTTGAGATCCCTAAATACGACTTTGTCTTTTTAGCTAATAGATGCAATCGTGATCTCCAAACCGGAACGGTAATCGGAAAGTCGCGGTAAATCTCAGCAGAAATCAGCCTGACATCCTTTCATTTGTCACTTCCTCCATCTCACACACACACCCTCCACCCCCATGGATGTTTATCTTGTCCAAAAAAAAAAAAAAAAAAAAAGTTGGCGTCAACAAGTTATTCAAAAATTGTCCCAGCTCTCCTGCGCACCCAGCAACCTGTCCTCCCCCCGGTGCCGTGTAACGCCAGCCCCACTCACTCGGGATTCACTGTAAGCAGGCGGTGGGTAGCTCAGTCACGTGAGTAAGCTTTTTGCTCCGGTCTGGCTCCCGGGCTAGTGGCTTGGTCTCCGACCTCTCCCCTTGGAGCAAACGACCCGAGGCCAACAGACTCTTCCTGCAGAGCCAGAGCCCCTCAACCGCACATGCCGGAGAGCCGGTGAACACCCCCCCACCCCAGGCTAAGCCAAGCCCAGCGCCCCAGCGGCTCCTTGTGTCTCCAACTTTCCGCGGCGTCCCCTCGGCGGTGGGTCGCTCCCCACACCCGCACTGACTTCACACCATGCACAAGCAACGTGAGGATTTTTTTTGGGGGGGGGGGCATGTGCGCGGCATTATTAGCCCAGCTGCCCCCCTCCGAGCCACCCTAGCGACCTGAGCTCCTTCGAGCAGGAGGGCGACCGCCCAGCTGTACCGGGCTCTCTCTCCCGGCACGCCTGGCTGCCGCCGCGAGCCCCCAAACTTGTGTCCGCTTTTTGCCGGATCCTGGGCGCTCCCCACGCCGCAGGCACGGAGGTCAGGGCAGCCAAGTGTCACCTTCCCCGCGCGCGGCCGGCAGGGCATCCCCCAGCCCCGGCAGGCTGCCGGGAAACTTCGCCGCGCTACCCACCTTTAGCGGCCAGGAGGCTCCCGACCCCCAGCAGGAGCAGCGCCGACTCCCAGCGCAGCCTCAGCATCTCCGGGCTGCTCCAGGCAGGTGGGGACTCTCGGTTCCTGCCCAGACGTGAGCGCCACCAAACGCTGGGCTGCTGGGGGCTCCCCTCGGCTCCTTCCGCCCGCCTCTCCCGTGAGCAGCCTCCAGGTGCGAGCAGTGCTGGGGGTGGTGGGCTGCTGCTGCGGCGACGGCTGCTTCCTCGCTTGCTGCTCAGTCATTCACAGCCTCACTGGCAGGACCAGAGCAGCGCCAGCTTTCACCCCGGGACTGCTGCCACGTCACAGGGAGGAGATTCATTAATATTCATGAGCAGAGAGCGAGCGAGAACAGCACAGGGTGAGAGGGCCACGTTCTAGCCCGGAGCCCTGCACACACACAGCGGAGGGGAGAGCCGGAGGTGAAGCGCAGAGACAGCCGGGGTCCACCCTTCCGCGCGCTTACCCACACCGGGAGCTGGAGCAGAGAGAGCAGCAGGGTTCCAGACTCCCCTTGCCACTTCCACCATCAGCCGCCAGGAGAACCGGTCTGGGGCTGAAGTAGAGAGAGCAGCAGGGTTCCAGACTCCCCCTGCCATTTCCATCACCAGCCCCCAGGTTAAGAGGCTTGGGGCTGGAGCAGAGAGAGCAGTGGGGTTCCAAAGGCAGACACATCTGGGGAATGGAACAGAGTGCAGCAGAGACGGAACCCTTCGCACCTGTGCCCTTTACACACACACACACACACACACACACAGCAGAGTAGGGGGTAAAACGGATAGACGAGGGCTCCAGTCCAAGCCCCTCTCGACACCCAGACGCCCATACAAGGATGGGACAGAGGATAGAATAGAGAGTGGGAGGAGTCCAAACCTGTCCCACTCTCCTCCCCTACCTTATTCTCTCCCCATTCCCCCCCCCATACACACACTGGAACAAAGGATATAAAAGCCTTCCCAGCCCTTCCCTTCCTACCCCTACTCCCCTCAGGGGAGGGAGAGACATGGGGACCTTGTGGGAAGGGAGCTACAGAAGCAAGAAAAAGAGGAGTGGGGACAAGGAGATCTGAGAGGCAGAGCAAAGAGGGAAGAGTGGGAACCCAGAGCACATCTGGTAGGGGATCAAGAAACAAAAGTGGGATTTCATGTCACAGAACAAGGAGGACCATCATGGATGAAGAGACCTAGGGGCTAGAGCAATATAAGAAGGCAGAGAACAACAGGGGATCCTGCAGGAGTAAATAAATAGTGAGGGATAGCTGGGTATGGAAATAAAATGTGAGATTTGGGGGTGGGATAACTGGGCTGCTTTCAGGGAATGAGACCTGCTCTAGAATAGCCAAGGTACACTGCTGGAATGGGGGAGAATAGCTGGGAAGCTACTTGAACCTAAGACTCCAACAGCTCCGCCACAACCACTGGGCTGTAGAATCAGCCTCTGGGCTGCTTTCAGGGAAGAGAGGGAGAATGGAGTTACAGAGGAGGAAAGAATGAGATAAAATGGGAATGGACCTGGTCAGAAAGAGGAGTGTTTGGGGGAAAACAGGATGACAAGGAGAGAGGGGAGCTGGAAAGTAGGGGGAGAGGCAACATAGGAGGGAAGAAGCGGGGGCTTGGGAGAAGACAGAGTGATTTATGAGACGAGGATGGGGAAAATATGGGGCCTAGGGATATAGGGTGGAGGGGTCTCATGCTATAGGGGGAGGTTCTTTGTCCCTTCTTTCACCCCTCCCTACCCCCACAAAAAAAACCCCAACCCTCTATGACAACTTGATTCCTTCACTAGATAGAATACAGTATTCCAAACCCTTTTCTCCTTCCCCTTCCTCCTCCTATTCCTGCACATCCAAGAAGATAGAGTACAGGAGGGTTCCACATCCTTGGTTGAAACCTTCCACTACAGAACCTACTGCTTATCAGGGGAAGATAGAACCACACACTTCACCATTCCATTCCATCCCACACAAACCTTTCCTAAACTATTTATACAGATATGGGATGAATTGTTATTCTACTGCTGCCTTTGGCTATTATATCTAGTGAGTTAGGGCAACGGTTCCCTTCTAATCTCCATTGTGGGGGTAGAAAAAGGAGAGAGATGATTTAAGGAGGAAAAAAGCAGTAAAGTAATTTGACAGGAAAGACCTGGGTCTAGGGAAAATTCATTTTTACCAATATTTATTTGTCTCTCATCTTTTATTGAAAAAAAGAACTATGACAGGGAATTAGGCTGTGGTAAGCCACTCTACTACTATTAGGTTGGAGTAAACCCCTTAGTCCCTGAAGTGTTAACTGTTTCAAAATAGACTGTTCTGTATGCATAGTAAGGTTTTCCTACAAATACGTCATAAGGGCTTTTGGTACATGCTATAAGACTTGATCATGCTTTCTGATACCCAACTGGGAGCACATCAATCCCTATCTTGTAAAATCAGCCATATACACTGCTGCTGATTTTTAAAAGATGCACTGTAGTGCTTATCACCCATCCATCCATCCCTTAGAAGTAAATATAAGTGTGATGCAGAGAGGTTTGCCTGTGTGATACCTGTTAACATTAATGGGAATCACATGGCAAATCTCTGTGTATCTTCCTGAAAATGTCCCCCCCATATGTGCATTTTCAGTAGTCAAACTGACTCAACAGACTACAAAGGCACAGAAGGAACAGATAACATCTACAGGGTCAATGACCTACAAACTAAAAAAATAGATTTATGCTGCAAGGAGCATCACAAGAAGTCTAATGTAAACATTCCACTTTTTTCCAAAAAATATGAATATGATTTTTGGATAAACAGCACACAAAATGAATATATATATCTAAATACCCTTTGTTTTGTTTCACCTAATGAATCAGATAAACTGTGAGGAAAGTATCACTGAAAAAAACTTATTTAAAAAAAGTCTTAATGTGTATTTACCTTGGTTGTTGTTTATGTTACAGTAGTATATAGAGACCCTAACCAAGAGATGGGCCCCATTGTTGTAAGCACTGCACAAATGCACGGTAGGACACAGCCCCTATTCAAACAAACTTAACAGATGGGGATCTGAAGTACAGATTAAGTGACTTGTCCAAGGCTACATAAGGAAGTCTGTGGCAGACCTAGAAATTGAACCCATATTTGGTGCCTTAGCTGCAAGACTGTTCTTCCCATTTACCTGATGCTAATGATCTATTTACATTAAAGACTATGAGTCCTATGATCTGTTGTGACAGCTCTCATATACATTACTTCCATGCATAGCAAGCCAAGGTGTTCCGTGATGAAAAAAATGTATTTAAATAATGTTAATGAGGTGGCACCAGTATGGAAATTGAAAGTTAAAACTGTCGTTAGGAGCCAGATTTTGTGCTGATCAGCAGCATGGCATCCTCATTAATTTCCACAGCCTTTCCTAGGGTGTAAGTCAGCAAAGAATTGTGCCACACGTCTTTTACTCACACCTGCATGCTTATATCTAATAATGGCATGATTTAAGGAGTGTCCGCTAGAACTCTGAATTTTTTTCCTTATCTTGGTTTGTGTCACAACCATCATATTATGTAAATGTAGGATTTGCTCCCAGGCAGGTCATTTCTGAGGGATTATTTCCCATTTGAGGCTCCTGCAGTCAACATGCCTTTTACCACCCAAGAAGAGCAATAACCCTCACACAGAGAAGTACAAAACAAAAAACAAAAACTTTGGCCTAACATATATTATTGCTCTGGTGAAATGGAAATTATAAAATAAGGGGAAAAGGTCATAGTCTTGCATTTACTGGTAATTATTGACACGGGTCTACATCAGTGACAGTCACAAAGTTCCATTGGTGCCAGGAGATCTAAAGCTTATTTTTATCATAATTTTCCCAGTAGTGGATTCAGGATAGATGTTGGAGGAAGGGATTTGCCCTTAGGGATAGAGAGTCTGCTGTATAGATTTAGGTGGCTCCAAGGTCAAGATCAACTTTACTTTATTACCATCCTCTTATATACTTATAGGTTTGAGACATCATGATTATCATTTTTCCTAAATAAAGTCAACAATAGACTTCCATAAGTGACAATTTAAACAGGCTTTATATATAGTATATATATTCAAGCACAAAATATTGTTAGCAAGGAGTTAAGGATTTGAACTCTGCTAATAAAAAAGGCAAACATTAAAAATACAAGGAACCGTAAGAAAGAACCTTAACTCAACATTTTAAAAAGCCACTTCATCCTTAATATACAATATTTCAATAAATAAACGTGTATGCCTCTATCTCAGGTGCAAGCTTGATGCTGCAATGAGCTCCATCGAGGTTTACTCAAGTAGTGCTCATGGCAGAATCTAGGTCTTTGGCTACTTGCTCTTTCTTGGGCAGATTGACTATTGCTGTGTGTTCATACAGGATCTAGCTCAAGGGGACCATGATCTGACTGGTGCATTTAGGCACAATACAAATAAATATTAAATAATAACAGCATGTAATTTAAAATAAAAAAGCAACATAGCAACCTAAATGTGACCATATGGGGAGAAGATGAGAGACAGAACGATCCATGCATGACAGATATTAGACAACATTGCTTAATGCACTATGAGAAGGTGCTCAGATACTCCAGTGATTAGGGCAGTATAAGAGCCTATAGAACAGTGGTGGACAACCTGTGGCCTGTCAGGGTAATCCACTGGGGGCTGTGAGACAGTTTGTTTACATTGACCATCTGCAGACACGGCTGCCCGCAGCTCCCCGTGGCCGCGGTTCGCCATTCCCAGCCAATGGGAGGCTGGGAACAGTGAACTGCAGCCACTGGGAGCTGTGAGCGATCATGCCTGTGGACGGTCAATGTAAACAAACTGTCTTGAGGCCCACCAGCAGATTACCCTGACGGGCCACGTGTGGCCTGTGGGCCGCAGGTTGCCCACCACTGCTATAGAAAGTAGAATAGATGTTGCATAGTGTAGGTGTTCCTATAAGGAAGAAAACAGGCTTAAAATATAGCATTATGATGTATTCATTTTAATATTTGACATCTATTATAATAATTGTATAATAGCACCAATCATTATCCACCTCTAGAAGAAATTGAAATATCATTTTCTCTCTTTCCCCCCTATTCCCAAGCAATACGGTAGAAAGTGTACCTGCCAGTCATATGTAGTCATTTGCTTTTTATCTGTGAGCCCAATTCACCTCTGCTATAAGCAGATGCAATAGCATTGACTTCATTTTCA